AAAGCTAGTAAGCATCTAATTTCTAGTTCTGTGTTGAAAATCCAAGATGATATCAGATCTAAATTACTATTTGGGGACTTGCTAAAGAGTCCATTGTTAGGAGGAATGTTTCTTGGCTTTCATTTGTACAGAGACTTACATAACTGGCCCAAATTCTTCTTATCATTTATGTAAGAAGAGTTCATTAAATGCTTAGCATGTATCAAGAAAAAAAGAAGCTCCAACAAATTCTGGAGATATTAATAATTTGGGGATACCCTATCATGGTTACCACCATAGGTCTTAGTTCCTTCTAGCAATTCAACTTTTGATCTGTCTCTTAGTAGCTGAATTATCTTGGCCTTCTTCTTTTACTTCTTGAGTCACAGAATCTTTGTGTTTGAACTAATGTTAATAACCATAGCAAATTCTTGATGTAAGGTTTAATTTCTCAAAACTTCATTACTACACATATATATGTGATATTAGATAATACTGTATGTACTATCAGCAAATAAGACTTCAAATTATGTTGCATGAAATGTTTTTGCCAGTTAAGAGAAAATTTGATTTAAATGATATAAAAGAGTGGGAAGATGTAGCACATCACACCAGCTAAAATGAATACAGAAGTTGAATGATCCCCAAAGCATTTCCTACATGATATCAGCCTTAGGCTCTTCTGTCATGAGGTGATTTTGTCTTGGATTTGTCCCTAGAGATTGTAAGATGATCTCCATAGCTTTGGCCTCATAGTGTCACAGGACATTTCCAGGAACCAAAGGTAGGAAATAGGATGGCAGAATACATGAATGGTTGGATATGTCAGCACTTATGCAAGAGCAAATTAGTCTACCTCAATTCTATAGACACCAGCAGTTAACATGAAACTCCAATGAGCCAGAGCTAGCCAGCCTATGACTAAAAACAAAAGCAATAGCCATAGTGCCATTCCAAACTGTCTACCTTAGCCACTGTTCTCACAGAGTATGACAAGAGCCTAAGAATGTCTGCTTGCTTGGTGGATTGTTTTGAAGGAGAGAAATCCTGGTATTAAGCCACTGTGATCTTTTATTTTTATTTAAGCCAATCTACTTGGCTCATGCTGGTTGGAAAATTTTGGCATTCTGAACTATAATTAAACCTGCCCTTTGCTACAAAACTATCTCCATCTTTAAAAGCTATTCTCTACATGTTACTTTAAAGATAGCTAAAAATACAGAAAGAAAAACCAATGGAATCTTGAAATATGCAGGAAAATGGATGGAACTCAAAGAAACCATCTGGAGTGAGGTAACCTAGTCACAAAAAGATATACATGGTATGTACTCACTCATATATGATTTTTAGACATAGAGCAAAGGATTACCAGTCTACAATCCACACTGCCAGAGGAGATATTGCTCAGAATGGTTTCCTCCCAGATGATGATTGAGAAGCTAATTAAAAAAAAAAAATGGTGCCAAGTACCAGAAGAGTAACAGAACTGTGCTGTTTTCTGGGATTTTGTTTTTTACTTTGTTGTTGTTTTGTTTTTGTTTTTTTGTTTTTTTTTGGTTTTTTTGTTTTTAATGGAGTGTGCTGGATGTCTCTACAATTTTGTTCAAATGACTGCAGAACCTGGAAAAGCTGACGCATAACATATTGCCATTGTTGGTCTATATATATATGCTAATTGAAACTCAAATATGTGATGAATCCAAGGTGTTTCAGTGAGTGCTCACCTGTGCATGCAAATTTGATTTCATCCTTAGTA